AAACATAAATGTCAAAAGGCAGAGAAAGATGGACCAGGGAAACACCATCTTGATGATGTATAATTGATGGTTAACTTCATGTAATGTTAAAAAGAAGTTTACCAGATATATTGCAGTTTTATGAGTCTAATAACATAGCCTCAAAAGATAGAAACAACAAAAAAATGACCATAAGAAATAGACAAGTCTGCAATCAAATGGAAGTTACAAAGGCTTCCTGCGCTTGATGCATTCCTGGGGATTCAGGCTGTGTGTAGCAGGATTACAAGTTTGAGGCCAACTACTAAGATTCTATTTCAAAAACAAAATAGGAGGGCTGGGAAGGTGGCTCAGTGGTAAAGCGCTTGCCTTGCATGCTTGAGGCCCTGGGTTCGATTCCTCAGCACCACATAAACAGAAAAGGCTGGAAGTGGCACTGTGGCTCAAGCGGTAGAGCGTTAGCCTTGAGCTGAAGAGCTGAGGGACAGCGCCCAGGCCCAGAGTTTAGGTCCCACGACCGGACCCCCCCCCCCCCAAAAAAAAAGAAAAAAACAAAATAGGAAGACTTTAGCTACTAATAAGGCAAATATTATATGATCAAACAGTAATACCTGGATACTATATTAGTGCAAATTTACAGAATTTGCTTAAAATTTGGAAACTAATTCTTTTGGAGCACATAGGGGACACCCAAGAGGAAAAAGCCCTAGCCTGCAAAGAATAATGTAGAAAATAACTTTTCTGACTTCAGTGGATTAGTTAGAAAAAATCAGAGTTAACCCTACACACTTTGTAAATTTAAAAGCGCCTCTGAATGATTTTGAGCTCAGGAACAAGTTCAATGTTAAGTAATCTTGATGATCATTTGTTTCAGATGCCTTACCATTTGTAAGCTGTTTTTGTGTTGTTTTGTTGCCGGTCCTGGGGCTTGAACTCAGGGCCTGGGCACTTTCCCTGAGCTTCTTTTGCTCAGAGTTAGCACTCTACCACTTGAGCCACAGTGCCACTTCTGGCCTTTTCTTTTTATGTGGTTCTGAGGAATCAAACCCAGGGCTTCATGCATTCTAGGCAAGCATTCTACCACTAAACCACATTCCCAGCCTTTAAAAAAGCCAGCCTGGGCAGGAATGTCCATGAGACTCTTATCTCCAATTAACCACTAGAAAAACCAGAAGTGGCTCTGTGGCTCAAGTTGGTAAGAGTGCTAGCCTTGAGCAAAAGAGCTCAGGGACAGTGTACAGGCTCTAAGTTCAAGCCCTACAACTGACCCCCCCCCCAAAAAAAAAAAACAAAAAGGTGGAAGAGAGGAAAGAGAGATGGGAGCCTAAGCTGAGAGGAGGTTCCTACAGCCTGAGTCAGCCAGCTGTGGTCTCTCCAGGGAGGCAGGACTTTGGAGGATCTGCCTTTTCATTGTACATTCATGGTCCCTGTCTCTTCACTTCAACTCCTTCCTTCTGGGCTCCTCTCAAAAGATGGTATTGACAGGCACTGGTGGCTCACACCTGTAATCCAGCTACTCTGGAGGCTAAGATCTGAGGATCCAGGTTTAAAGCCAGTCAGGGCAGCAAAGTCCCCAAGGGACTCTTGTCTCCAATTAATCACCAGAAAACGAGAAGTGGTGCTGTGGCTCAAGTGGTAGAGTGCTAGCCTTTAGCTGAAGAGCTGAGGGACAGTGCAATAGCGTTTAGGCCCAGAGTTTAAGTCCCATGTCTGACAAAAAAATTAAAAAAAAATCTCATGGACTTCCCTGCCTGGACTAGATTTGAATTATTATCCTCAGATCTTAGCCTTCCCAGTAGTTAGGATTACAGGTGTGAGCCACTAGCCCCCTGCTTCCTTAAAGATTTACAATTTCAGAGGAGTGAGAGAACCAAGAACCTAAGTTAAGGACCTACGTACTTATTTGAGATAAGCTTACATGGTTTAGTTGCTGTATGTTCTATAGTTTTGCCTGAATCAAAAGAAAACGCTGTAGTATTAGACTTGATTCTTAGGGAACCCATATCACAGGTTTGCCTCATGTACTTCCTAATGTCTTTTGGCTATCTTACTCATATTTCTTCACCCTACCATAATTGTTTTCACCCTGATTTATGTAAAGCAGTTTTTTTTTTTGCAATTTGATCGCTGCAATTATTCTTATGGTCCAGTTAGATTCAGTAGTATCATTTCCCTGTTTTTTTTTTTTTTTTTTTTTGTGGTAGTTAAGCTACAACTAGCAATTTTATTATGGGCATAGCAGTAAATGTATATTTTGTATAATAAAAATTTTCAGGTAATGCTCCTTATGTTCATAGAAATAGTTTGTCCAGTCGAAGTCTTAAAATTAAAAGTTTAAAAAATGTCTTGCTCTATCAGTTTAAAGATCTTTTTTTGTGTGTGTATGTGTGCCAGCATTGGGGTCTGAACTAGGCCTTATGCTTTCACTTGGCTTTTTCACTGAAGGCTAGCATTACCACTTGCACCATACTTTCCTTTCAGGTTGGGGATCTTTACTGAGGAATTGTGGCTAACCCTACTTATGTGACCAATAGCAATTAACTCTACATATGGTAGCTTTATATTAATTGGACAAAAAAGAATGTTACCGATTTTATTTGATTTTGAGGAGGGTTTTAGAATTGTTGGACAGGAATACTTTTAATATTGAGGCTGATCTTATAGCAATTTAAGAACATTTTATAGTTTGTACTGGGGCTTGAACTCAGGATTTCATATTCTCACTTGTTTGTTCAAGGCTGGTGCTCTACTACTTGAGCCACACCTCTATCTGGCTTTTTGGTGTTTGATTGGCTGGCTTTGGGCCATGATACTCAGACCTCAGCCTCCTGAGTAGCTAGGATTATAGGTGTGAGCCTCTGGCACCTGCATATTTTATACTTTAAAATATTTCATGGGCTGTGAATATGGCTTAGTGGTAGAGTGTTTGCCTACCGTGCATGAAGTCCTGGTTTGATTCCTCAGTACCACATAAATAGAAAAGGTCAGAAGTGGTGCTGTGGCTCAAGTGGTAGAGTGCTAGCCTTGAGCAAAAAGAAGCTCAGGGACAGTGCCCTGGCACTGAGTTCAACCCCTAGGACTGGCAAAAAAAAAAATCATATAAAATTGATTTTGTTCATTACAAATGGACAAGGCATTCATTTGACTTTGCTAGAAGTCTAAAGGATAGAGAACCTCCTCAACAATTTTTTATGCGAGTGATACTTTGAACTACTGAAAGAAAAAAAACAAGTTTCAGTATTTTTTTCACCTCCATTTCGACAGGTGAGGACTCTTTATAGAGGTACAGTGAGGGGCAATAAACCTTCCTGCGGGAATGGAGGTTGTAGGAATGGGTGGATTTGGGGTCAGGCTTATGGGTCTTAACAAGGAAGCAGAAAAAAACAAACCAAAACAGGCTATATGGTTTCTTGGAAGCCAAGGTGGGGGATGTCCTTGGCCAGACCCAGAATGGAATGTTCCACCTGGGCTGAGGGAACTTTCAGCTAAGCCAAAGTGGGAATGACCTGCCTGCGATCAAGCACGCACCTGGTGTTTTGCTTGACCTGGGGGAATAAGGCAGGGTCAATCCTTTATAGTCCATCTTTAGATACATCAAAAGATTGGGCCCAGAAGGGAGAGGCAAGTCCTCTTTGGATGGATAAAAGGAATGGGCTGGGAGAGGAGACTGGGGAAAGAGGTCTACAGTTATCTTTTCTGGCTACTTTCTGCTGACTTGGGCATTGGTCTCCCATTAGGTGTTATGTTGGTTAGGCTTCTTGGTTAAGGGGAGGAGTTTTGTGGCCCAGATCTCTTCTCTGTTAAGGAGTTCTGTGGACATGAAAAACTTGGTCATCCTCAGGGATGTGAAAGTTCGGACATGTTCCTGGAGAAAATGAGTAAGACATTTGACAAGACAGGGCCCCACAGATACCACTAGTAAAATCACGATAACTGGGCTCAGGAAAGGAGCCAGCCAGAAGTCCTTTGAGGGGGAGGAAGAGGAATGGAAGGGGGGATTCTGTATTGAGTTTATATATTTTCCAAAATTTGTTATTTTCTCTAACAGTGTCCGATTGGTTAGCACAAAAGCAGCATTTTTCCTCAGAGATTAAAATGGAGGATAGAAGCAGGTATTGCTAACTTGACTGAGTTCCTGAAAACTTGGCAAAAATTGGAGTCAACAGCTAACTGAGCAGCTGTAAAAAGTCTTAAGCAATCCTTTTTTGGTGTTGATGGCCAAAGCAGTCTGATACAGAGGAGTGGTTTATATATTGCCATGCTTGTTCAGATAGGGTCTTGTTAACTTTTTTTTGTCCAGGCTGGTTTTGAATCATGATCTCCTGACTAGCTAGGACTACAGATGTGAGCTAACCTCACTCAGCCTGAGTGATTTTTTTGTTACTTTGTTTTTCCGTGGGGGGATGGTCCTGGGGTTTGAACCCGGGCTCCAGCCTCATTCAGGTACTCTACCAATTGAGTCATCTCCTAGTCCTTTTTGCTCTAGTTATGTCGTGTTTGCCCAGAGCTGGCAATCATGATCCTCCTTCCAGTAACTGGGCTTAGAAGTGCATAGCACCCATCCCCTGCTAAAGCTCTGATTTTAAAAATGCAGTTATTGTAAAAAAGAAAAGAACAGAAATACCACTTGTATAGTTTTCTCCCTGTACAGTATTTAACTTGAGGTTTTACTTTCTACAATTTTCTTTTTTGGTTGAACATGGGGCTTAAACCCTGGGCCTGGGTGCTGTCTTTCGGCTTTTCAGTTCCAGCTCTACCACTTGAGCCACAGCACCACTTCTGGTTTTCTGGTGGTTAATTAGGATAAGAGTCTCATGAACTTTCCTTCCCTGGGCTGGCTTTGAACCATGATCCGCTAGTCTCAGCCTCCTGAGTAATTAGGATTATAAGAGTGAGCCACAGGCACCTGGCTTGCACTTCATTTTTGACATTTCTTTGCCATATTTCATCTGTATGAGCTAAAGTCAGTCATAGGTGAAAGATTTTTAAATAAGATTTAAAATTGTTTTTATGTGTTTTAGATTCTGGAAGTTACAGTCAGTCTGGGGGTGAGCAACAAAGGTAAAGTATGCATATATTTTAATAATACCATGAAAAACTAGTATTGAGAAAAAAGGAATTTAGTTATAAATTCTGGTAGGTTTCTGTTTTGGGACTTACTATGGGAATATCTTAAAATAATTAAATAGTAGCTTTCCATTGGGAAGAGAGTATAAATAGGTGCTAAGAAATATTACCTATTTTAAAAGTGTTTGTATAATATAGATGAATCCTGGAAATTAAGATAATCCTACTTAGTGTAATGATTGTTTTAATTACTTTGAAGAAATTGTTAAGAGGTTAAGTTCTCAGAAAAAGCATTTCATTTTTTGATGGTATATAATATTAATACTTTTGTAACAATTTCTTTAAAGCACTAGAAAAAATGTTTAGCAATTTTTGAGTCCTTATGTTCACAAAAATATTTGAAGTGAATATACCTTTAGAAGACTTGCTTGCTAGAAAAACAGTCTTCAACTTAGGCTATAAATGGTTTGGAGCCTAGTAATATTCAGAATAGCATATTAGGTATCTATGGTCATTAAGTTCTGAGCTTTCTGAAAACAAAATTGATTTAATTTGATTCTCATAAGGTAGTGCCACCTTCTTAATAGGCATCTGGCAAATGAAATGTACTTTTAAAGTTAGGGAAACTAGGTGGGTGGCGAATGCTTGTAATCAAAGCACATAGAAAGTAAGACAGGAGGATTACAATTTTGAGGCCAGCCTATGCTACATAGGGAGAACCTATCTAAAAAAAAATGTTCACAAATTCTCTTAGCATTTGATAGCTCTAAAATGATAGAGTTTAAAAAATTTTTATTTTTAAATTTAGTTATTATTATAAGTAGTTGTGCAAAGGTTACAATTCTGTAAGTCAGATTATGAGCACAATGCTTCTTAGTGTCACCCTTTCCTTCATTCTCCCATTTTTCCCCTTCTGTCTCCACTCTTAAGTTGCATAGTTCATTTTTTGTTTGTTTGTTTTTGGCATAGTTCATTTTTTTACATAATGTACATTGGATATAATGACTACATGGGGTGTGTGTGTGTGTGTATGTATGTCTCTCTCTTTCTCTCTATATAAAATGACTGCTTTCTTCAGGCTTGAGTCCTTTCCTCCCTTAGCCCCCCCCCCCCATGTTTGTAAAAAGGTGTTTTGGTTTTTTTTTCGTTTGCTTAGTTTTTAGATTTTTTTCCTCCCCTTTGGATATTTGACTCTCAGAGAAAAAAGTTAATTTTTGAGCTTACATGTTGTAAAATTAATTAAAAATCTTAGGAAGATACATATACTCAGGGAGCAAACAAATATTTATTTTTATTTATTTTTTCAAACAAATATTGAAGTACATGCAAGTGTTGTGACACTGAATACACTATAGTACTCTGGACATATCTATGCTTCTAATTACTGAGGCATTTAAATTGGACTTTTAGTGCCACACATGCCTTTTCTAGAAAGTTTGTAAAACATTTAATGAAGGCAAGTGGTAGGAAGAAATTAGTTTATTCATATATAGCTAAATTGAAAGTACCAACTAAACTGGTACTTTAACAAAAGTATTAAAAGTTACTGTGTTAAAGATATTGTTGGTCTTGATATGTAGCTTATTATGTGTTATTTCTAAACAAAAAAACCCAAAAGCTTAGTTATCAATTACTGTATTGGATTTAAATATTAGAAAAATTTGAACCCGAGATTAAAAATTTGCCTATAGAATGAAATTTGTCAATGTTTCTGGCCATTTTATTTACCATAAAGCATAAATCTCTTGAGATATTGTAGCTCTGGTGAAGTTGTACTTGTAAGGACTTGTTAAAATAAAATTTCTGGTATTTGATGTGTAAAGAGGTCTGGGAGTGATACCATTTATGTCTTTTATGGACTTTGGTCATCACATTTCATTTTAGACTCTTAAGAGAAAGGTAAACTGATAGTTGCTCAGAAAAGAAACCTGGATTTGAAGTAAAAGTTGAAATGAAGGCAGGGTGCTTCATTTAAGCTTTTAAAGTTTCTTCAAGCACATTTCTTTTAAGTACTACATTTTTATTTTACAGTTATTCTTCCTATGGAAATCAAGGAAACCAAAGCTATGGGCAAGCACCACAAGTAGGTTGAAAGATAAAATTTCTTTTTTATTACTAGTTACTTTCATATTAAGTGATGAAAACCATTTACCTGAATTTCAGAGCTATTCTGGCTATGGGCAAACAACTGATTCTTCATACGGACAGAACTATGGCGGTTACTCCAGTTATGGACAGAACCAATCAGGTTGGACTGGTTTGTTAACTTTGCTGTTTAAAGACTTAGAAATCAGAACTTTCTCTAAATAGTATTCCTGTACAATCTTTAGGTTATTCACAGTCCTACAGTGGTTATGAGAATCAAAAGCAGAGCTCATATGGCCAGCAATCGTACAATAACCAAGGACAGCAAAGCACGGAATCATCATCAGGGTAAGGAAATATAGAGTATTGAGATTGTGTTGGGTAGTGTAAATAGATATTGCTGAAGTTTTAGTTTTAAACTTCACTGCCTGTCTTTTTTATTTCCAACTCAGTTTTTTTGTGGTGCTGATAATTGAACCATAGAGCCTCACACATGCTAGGCAAGAACCCTGTCCTGAGCATTATAATTTAATTTAATTTTATTGGTCCTGGGGCTTGAACTCAGATACTAGACATGGTCCCTGAGCTTTTTTGCTCAAGGCTAATGTTCTACCATTTGAGCTATATAGCTCCACTTCTAGCTTTTCTAGTGTTTAATTGGAAATAAGAGTCGCATGGGCTTTTTTGCCCAGGCTGGCTTTGAACTGTGCTCTCCAGATCTCAGTTTCTTGAGTAACAATGGTTACAGATGTGGGCCACCAGCACCCAGCTCCATTTTATTTTTGAGCCTTTTGAATGTATTACTTTTCCAGGATTTTTGTTGTTGTTGTTGTAGAGCTTGAACTCTGTGCTTGGGTGCTGTCCCTGAGCTCTTCAGCTCAAGGCTAGCGTTCTACCACTTGAGCCACAGTGCCCACTTCTGACTTTTCCTGTTTATGTGGTGCTGAGGAATTGAACCCAGGGCCTCATGCATGCGAGGCAAGCACTCCACCACTGAACCACCTTCCCAGCCCATTTTTTTTTTTCTTAAACTACAGAAACATCTACATGTACCAAATACCTGGAGTATGTTTTATTTGTTAATACAGATAGGTGAACATTTTCAGTTGATTTGCATGAGACTTTTTATTTTTGGTTGGTCATGGGACTTGAACTCTGGGCCTGGTCATTGTCCCTCAGCTCAAGGCTAGTGCTCTACCATTTGAGCCGCAGGGCCACTTCCGGTTTTCTGGTGGTTTATTGGAGATAAGAATCTCATGGACTTTCCTGCTTGGGCTGGCTTTGAACTCGATCGTCAGATCTCAATCTCCTAAGTAGCTAGGATTACAGGTGTGAGCCACTAGTGCCTGGCCTGCATGAAACTTTTTAAAATTTAGTTTTTTTTTTTGTTTTTTTTGTTTTGGGTCTGGTCATGGGGCCTGAACTCTGGGCCTGGGCGCTGTCCCTCAGCTCTTCAGCTCAAGGCTAGCGCTCTACCACTTGAGCTACAACGCCACTTCCGGCTTTTTTCTTTTTGCTTATGTGGTGCTGAGGAATCGAACCCAGGGCCTCAGGCATGCAAGGCAAGCGCTCTACCACTGAGCCATCTTCCCAGCCTCCTTAAAATTTAGTTTTAAAGAGTCTATATTTAATTAAGTTAATAATGCAACCCCTTCCCCCTCTCCCCACTGTGCTTTACATTTTCCATTTCAGGTGTTTAATCCTCAGATGCCACAGATAGTAGTTATCTCCATTTTGCAGATGTAAAGAAATGTTGTTATAGTTATACAGTTCCTCAAGTTTTATAGCTGGAGATTTTAGAAAACTGAAATCTCTAGTGGTTTCTGACTGCAGTGAATGAAGTTAGTCCTAATAAAATTCAGTTAAATAAAAACATTAGGAAAGATTTCTGAAGTCAGATTATTAGTTTGAGGGTTGGGGACCTAGTTCAGTTGTGAGTACTTTCCTAGAGGAAGCATAGGCCCTGACTTCAAACTCCAGTACTAGCAAAACAAAACCAAAAATACCAAATTTTGAGAATGTTTGAAAACTTTTATAGAGTACAAATGTAGGGAATATTTTGAAGTCATTTAAGAAAATAATAATCCCCCCCTCTGTACAGTATTTTCACAATAAAAAAATAATAAAAAAAAGAAAAAAAATAACCCTTTAATACCTTCTTGTTTAGTTTTAAGTTTAAGGATAATCCTTTTATAAAGAATGTATGGACTAGGTGCTGGGCTCACACCTGTAATTATAGTTACTTCAGAAGGTTTAGATCTGAGAATCAGTTTGATCAGTTTGGAGGCACCTTTTTTTTTTTTTTTCTGTCTTTTCTTTTTTGTTATTGGGGATTGAACCTAGGATGTTGCACTTGCTAGGCAAGTGTTTTGCCACTGAGATTCATCCCAAGCCTAGTTACTGACTTCTGCTCCAACTGGCTTCAAACCTCAATCCTCAGATCTGTTTTCTTTCTTCTTTTTTTCTTGGGGGGGGGGGGGGAGGTTGGTTGTTGGGCTTGAACTCTGGGCCTGGGTGCTGTCCCTCAGTTCTTTAGCTCAAGGCTAGTGCTCTACCACTTAGCCACAGAGCCACTTCTGGTTTTTTGAGTGGCTAATTGGAGATGAGTCTCACGGACTTTCCTGCCCAGGCTAGCTTTGAACTGGGATCCTCAGATCTCAACCTTCTGAGAGTAGCTAGGATTACAGGTGAGAGCCACCAGTGCCTAGTGCCTGGCTCTGTTTTCTGAGAAGCTAGAATTACAGGCATGAGCTCTTGGGATCTTGCTTTTTTTTTTTTTTAATTTTAAATCAGGGAAGGGTCTCAGAAAAAGTATTCTTGGTTCAGTATTGTTGCTCAGGGATAATGTACGGCTCTGAATTAAAGCTTCAGGACCAGCACCAAAAAAAGAAAGTAAAATCAGTTATTTTCATGCTTGCTAGAGTTCTCAAAGGTACTTGGGGTTCTTTTCCACAGTATGGCTTTTGTTTGAGTGACATAACTTCAGTGAGATAGTGAGATTGGTCTCTTAAAGGTTATTTCAGTGATGATAAGGAGATAGAGATAAAAGAACCAAATAATTACTATGAGAAAATTTTATCAAATATGGTTCAGATATAAGTGATCAAGATTTTTATATTAGTTTTAGCCAACTTGCTACAGTAAACATAGTCTTCCAAGAAAGTCTCTCATGTTCTTTGATTTCTCTTTAGCCAAGGTGGAAGAGCGCCTTCATATGGTCAATCTGACTATAGCCAACATGATTCTTATAACCAGCAGTCAGGCTATAATCAGCATCAAGGCTCATATGATGAGCAGTCAAATTATCAGCAACATGATTCCTATAATCAAAACCAGCAGTCCTATCATTCACAAAGGGAAAACTATAGTCACCACACACAAGGTAAGGTATATTGGCTTCTAGTTTCCTTCTTCCCTTCTCAGAATTATTTGTATGTTGAATTTGGATCAAAAGACTCATACTAGATTTCACCTGTTTGTAAAGATTTGAGGTATCTTCCAAGATAGATTTTTCTCCCATGGCTATTAAAACTGTGATTAGATTTCTCTTTGTTGATTTCATGGATACTTCCAAATGGTTACATCACTTTTTGGTGGCTGATTTTCTGTGCTATTTCATTTACATTACATTTCCTGTGCTATTTCAAGTGATCATTTGGCAATGTTATTTTTGCCACTTTTTGATGCTAGAAGTGTACTTGATTTAGGGAAATCATTCTGTATTAGCCTTTACTAACCTCATTAACAAAGATTGGTCATTACTTCCTCTTGTCCTATAGCGTTTTGTGTATACCACTGATATTTAGGATTCTATCCACATGATGAAAATGATTCAAAGGAAAAAAGGAACTGTTTTTAATTCATTTTTATATCTTAGTGTTTGTATCTTAGGACTTAATTCACAATGAGTTCTCAATGGACATTTGCTGAATTTTTTTTTCAGTTCTGGGATTGAACTCATGGCCTTGCACATGTTGTGAAGCTTTCTGCCATGAGCTATATTCCTGATTCTGTTGAATAATTGAGTGAACAAATAAAATCAGTATATACCTTAACTATTGTTGTTTTACAGTTTTAGAAGTGAATAAAGTAGTAAGTTTCATGATTTGGGTTGTGCTTTTATCAGAGTTACTTTCATAAGGTTTTTTGTTTTGTTTTCAGTATTGATGAATTAGAGCCGTATCCTTTCATTTGGGCTATGCCTTCAGTCCTCCAGAGCCTTGTGAATGCTAGTCAAGCACTGTACCACTGCACTATACACCCAGCCCTTTTTAGTGTTATGCTTATTTTGAGGCAAGATAGCATTAAATTGCTCAGGCTGGCCTCAAATGAACCCCAACAACTGTCAACAAAAAGCTTGTATTTTAACTCAAACCACATCACCACTTTGCTGTTCTTGTTTTCTAGTAGAATAGGATTTAATACAGATAGAATTCTCAAATATTTAATTCTGTGTGTTTTGATGACTTGGATTTGAGCTCTGTGTACATATGCTTTTATCCAAAAGTCATAATATCTGGCTGTAAGTGCATTTAAGATTATGTTATCTAGCCAGATGTGGCAACACATTTTTTTTTTTTTTTTTTTTTTTGCTTGGTCATGGGGCTTCAGCTCTGGGCCTGGGCATTGTCCCTCAGCTCTTCATCTCAAGGCTAGTGCTTTACCACTTGAGCCACAGTGCCATTTCTGGTTTTCTGGTAGTTGATTGGAGATTAGAGTCTCACAGACTTTGCTGCCCAGGCTGGCTTTGCACTGCCATCATCAGATCTCAGCCTCCTGAGTAGCTAGGATTACAGGCGTAAGCTACTGGTGCCTTGCAACACATGCTTTTAATCCCAGGATATGAGAGGCTGAGACAGGAAGATTGAGAGTTAAGGCTAGGCTGAGCTATGTAGCAAGTTCTAGGCCAGCCTGGACTGCATAGAAATGTCTTGCCCTCTCCTGCCCACAAATGGTTTTGTTTATGTGAAACATCTGTCAGAAATGACAATACTTGTTGGGCATGATGACATACCACCTAACAATTGGGTGGCTGGGGCAAATTGTGAGACCATGTCTCAAAAATGACAATAGTTACTTATGTATGTAATATTTTCTTTTATAGATGACCGTCGTGATGTGAGTAGGTATGGAGAAGATAATAGAGGATATGGCGGGTCACAGGGAGGAGGTAGAGGGCGTGGGGGATATGACAAGGATGGAAGAGGTCCTATGACAGGATCAAGGTAAGTATTTAGGTATAGATGCCTATATTTCTCTCTTGCTACTTTTCTTTGTTATTGTTACTTTGCTGATTTGATTTTAGTATCAAATTTAGAAGATTTTAAGAGATTATGTTGTAGAAAAAAGGGCAGAAATTAGAACTTTATGTTCATAAATTGTCTTAGAATTTGGTATGTTAATATTTTTTACGGTGTATGTTAAACACCAATAACCACCAGTAAATATGGTGTATGTGTTAAATACCCTTACTATGCTATGGTTAAACACTGGACTTTTTTTTGCCAGAGTAAGAATCTAGACCTTTAAAAATGACTCTGGGATATCAATATTTTTGTATGTAAACAATTAAAAGAAGTCAGTTCTATGTTGAATGGCGGAGAGGCTAATCCTTAATTTTGAGTTCCTTGGGCAAGGAACCTAATAGAGTAGAAAAATGGGATTGGTATATAAGAGGAAGATTTAATATAATTAAGCTATTTTGTCCTCCTTCTTAAAGTAAATAATTATTGAAATAATTAGTTCAGCATCACATAAAACATTTTATATTTCATGTAGATAAGAGTTGTGGTAAAGGATTGACTTTAATTTAGCTTTTTCCCATCACTCCTATTATTAGATGATACACTGATTTACAATATAAGTTATATCATATAGTTTTAAAATTATTATTATTATTTGCCAGTCTTGGGACTTGAACTCAGGGCCTAGGCTCTGTCCTTGAGCCTCTCAGTGCTTAAGGAGCCATAGCGCCACCTCTGACCTTTTCTGTTTATGTGGTGCTGAGGAATCGAACCCAAGGTTTCATGCATGCTAGGCAAGCACTCTATCACCAAGCCATATTCTCAGCCCTAAAATTATTTTTAAATATATCTGTAAGATACATTTTAACTCTAAAAACTCCAAAAAATATTTTAATTCTAAAATCAAGAATGAAATAGCAATTTGCATCTATCCTTAGATTAGACTGGTAAGTTGCATATTTGTTCATGAAATACACAGGCTTAAGGATAATTTATGTTTATTAGAAAATTGAAAATATCAGTGACCTGTTACTGATATTTAATAATATATAAATGGCAGTTCATTTTTTGCTCCTTAGATACTAGATTAGATATCTGTTCCTGAGGTGTCCTGAAAAATAAAACCAGTATGAACAGACTTACAAGTTACTCAGAAATTTGATTCACTTTCTTGTATATCTCTATTTTTAATATATATGCTTTAGTATTATTAAAATACTAGTGTAAACATATTTAAATTTTTTTTAAAGCTGTAGACATCGTCTTAAATGGCAGTTTACAAATATATATAAAAAAAGATAAGGGCTAAGCACTGACAGCTCATGCTTATAATCCTAAGCTACTCAGTTTGAAGCCAGCCAGCGCAGGAAAAGTCTGTGAGACTCCAATAACAATCAGAAAAAGCCAAAAGTTGGAGCTGTGGCTCAAGTGATAGAGTGCAGGCCTTGCATACCAGGCCCTGAGTTCTAGCCCCAGGACCAGCTTTAAAAAAAAAAATCTCTTGTCAGTGGCACCGGCTTATGTGACCCCGTCTGAGGATTTGTGTGCTGTGTGAGGTTGTATATGCTGGTGTGCACAGCCTTGGAGGGAAGGAGAAAACTCCTTGAAACTGGGCAATAGTCCAGATGCCCGGCCACAACCTCAGGGGAAGACATGCAGAATTTTGCTAGTCTTGATCCTCTGAATGACCTCATGATACTCCGTCACACTCCCTTTTTGTGTGTAAGAAAAATCTCCTGGGCCTTGCTTATCTCTTGTAATCTTTGATCACTGTAAAACTGTTTCATGTTTGCTGACTAAGATGAATTTTTTTTGTTTGCTAAGATTAACTCTGTATTCTATATATAAGCATGTAGTGCTTTTAATAAACTTTGTCTATACCCGCAAGGTGTAGTCTACTCTGCCTACCAGGCACTGCATTCCCAGATCTTGCTGTGTGAGCAGCAACAAGTGGCACCTGGAGTTTTAATTAGAAGGATGGTGGTGTCCTCAGAGAAGGAGGTAAGTGGGAAGCATTTCATTATGAGACATCACTTTCTTAAGAAAAGTGGAGCAGAGTTGTTCAAAGAACCACTTCTGGAGTGTCTCGATACTATTTGTGAGCATAACCCATGGTTCCCCAACAAGAGAACTTTCGATGAAAAACATGGCAGAGAGTTAAAAACAATGTAAGGAGAGCTTACATAGAAATATTGAAAGATGAGGACCAGGAAGGTGGCTCAGTGGTAGAGTGCTTGCCTTGCATGCATGAAGCCCTGGGCTTGATTCCTCAGTACCACATAACCAGAAAAAGCTAGAAGTGGTGCTGTGGCTCAGGTGGGTAGAGCCTTGAGCTGAAGAGCTGAGGGACAGCACCCAGGCCCAGAGTTCAGGCCTTATCACCGGCAAAACAAAAAGAAATATTGAAAGATGAAAAGATTGTTGATCAGAAACAAAGTGTAAAAGGATTACTGCATCATTGTAAAGAAGAAGCTTAGCTACTGAAAGGTTTTCTGTTCCTGTTGTGGCATGCCACGTGTCTGTGTTCATGTCCTTTTTCCTGTCTACTGAAAAGTTTTTTATTGTTGGCAAAGTTTTTTTAACTGACTGCGTGGTTCAATCATAATTAGGCAAAATATCGCCACGAAAATTCCAAAAACTCTTAATTAAACGGCCAATATTAAAATCTTAAGTGCGCTCTATGATTTGTGCACAAACTTGTCTGCCTATTTGTCTATATGTAAAATGTGTAAAAGGGTCATGGTTTCAAAGTTATCAAGTATTCTGCTTGCTAAAAGATCTTTGTTAATGGGACTTGTGATTTAATCTGAATTGCCTTGAAAATTCTGAGATTGCCTGACTACAAGGCTCAGGCTGCATTTTCTCCTTGTGGAAGCTGCCAGAGGGGAGGGTGTAGATGGCTGTGAGCCTGGTTCAGACATTTGGCTGGTCCTGTCAGTGCAAATGGTTATAAAGTGCTCTTGTCTAAGATTGGATAAAAGACAAGAGTCAGGCCAGTTTAGTTTCAGGTGACCCTCACCCAGCCTTCCTCCAACTGAAGGTATTCAAAAGGCCAATTGGTAAGATGCCTGGCTAAACAAGCAAGCCCTGGAAAAATTGTGGTCCAGATAAGTACTTTGTTAAAAGGTTTTATCTACCACTGAAAATTTCAGAAAATGTATGTACAACTGCTTTTTATTTTTGTGCACTTTAAGATCTGTGTGAGTGTGTCTGAGCCCATGTGAATATGTTTAAGATAAAAACTATGTGCTGTAAAAGATTTCGGTGAGTTTTAAGTTTAAAATTCAAAAAAGTTCTGAGGTTTGGATGTTACCAAAAGTCTTGAAGAATTACTGCATTGTTTTAAAGGCTAAGGATTTGTTCATTTGAAAATTAGAAAATTTAGTATTTTGAAATCTGGTATTTTTAAATGCATGAGGCTGTTTACACTGTAATCAAGTTATCTGTCTTAGCCAAAAGGCATTGGGGATCTGGGATTTATTTCCCTCGGCTAAAATTTGGGGGAAAGTATTAGAAACTTAAATGTAAAGGTTTGCTTACGACTGCTAAAGACTTTACCTGTTTTGTCTGTCTAAAACTTGTAAGGTAGGAAGTAGGAAAGTTTCATTAGGTAGCCAATGAAGAGAAAACCATGGGTTATTTAGGCAGGAAAAGAAGTTTATTTACCAAACTGCTGCCCCCACCATGCATGGTGGAGAGGCAAGTCCCAAAAGGGGCGACCCAGCCCAGGCTAGTACTTATGTAGGCGAGGCACAGGAGGAGGAATGGCCTGATGGGGGTGTGGCCACAATGGAGTTTATTTACCAAAGCTAATGTACCAAACTGCTGCCCTCCCCTCCTGCTGTGCACGGTAGAGAGCATGTCCTAAAAGGGATGGAGGACCCTCCCCCCCCTTCCCCATTACTTATCTAGGCCAGGCACAGGAAGTGGTGGGGGAAAGGTCACACTGGATCTGGATGTGACCTCAGGGCCTGGGACTCACTTGTGGTCCTAAGAGAGGCTAGTGAGACCAGGGGCGGCCCAGGGTATGACCTAGCAGGAGGGGGAGGTGACTGCTTCCAGGTGTGCCAGTTACCTAGGTACTGCAAATACGGGCGGGAAAATTAGCCAAGGGATAGGGAGATGACTACACAGGGCCTGCATGGCCTGGATGATCTTAAAAACTGCTTGGGTACTTCAGTTGAAGAGAAAAGGAAAGGTAAAACTTAGGATGAGCCAAGAGAAAACCCATAGTAGAAAAGAATGGACACTGCAAACCTGATGGTAAAGTGAGTGATGTGATGATGTGATTGGTATTGCTAGAACTGCCCTTGGATGTATTAAAAATTGAAAAGGCTTTAAAAAGTAGGGTTGAAAAGTTTATCTGTGTAATGTGATCTGGTTTTAATGCTATTCTGCTATTGGATATGTGTTAAAAAGACAAAATATGTTGACTCTAGATTCAATGCTAGTTTATTATAACTTTGGCATTAAGGAAAAACTGTCATTTGAGTTCAAAAGTTTTTTAGGAGGTAAATCAGACAGAAAAATTAAATACATAAAATATACCTTTTAAAATAAGCAACCAGGGCTCGGAATGTGGCTCATTGGTAGAGTGCTTGCCTTGCGTGCATGAGGCCCTGGATTCAATTCTTCAGCACCACATAAACAGAAAAAGCTGAAAGTGGTGCTGTGGCTCAAGTGGTAGAGCGCTAGCCTTGAGCTGAAGAACTGAAGGAGAGTGCCCAGGCTCGGAGGTCAGGCCCCAAGACATACTCACATACATACACACATACATATATACATAAATAAATAAGTAGCCAAAAGGCAATGCATGAGGTTCTTTAAATGAAGAATAAAGTGTTAAAGCAGAGGTTAGTAAAAGGCTTTTTAAATCAGGAATGGATTCCTGGATATGAAATTTGGAAGTAAAATTGTTCTAAGTGTTTGTTTCAAAGTACAAAAAGGAAAAATTATGGCTACCAAAACGATTCCAGCTTGCCATTATACATTTTTTCAGCAGACCCACAGCAAAAGACAGGATATTTACAAGTTCGTCAGGTGTACCTTTAACCCTTAATAAATTCCAGGTAAGAGCATGGTTAAAAAGCTACTTCCATGTTGACCACCTTGTTGCTTTTGATTGGGGTAAAGTGGCCTTTTGTAAGACTCATTGATCTGAAAACTGTGGTTCAAGCCAACCCGGGCAGAGAAAGGACTATGAGACTGTCATCTCTAATCTGCCAGCAGAGTGCTGGAAAGTGGAGTTGCTTTGGAGCTCAAAGTGGTAGAATGCTACCATGAGCTGGAGAGCTGAAGGACAGTACTCAGCCCTGAGTTCAAGTCCAGTGACAGACCAAGGGCAATGCCAAGGTGCATTTAACCCAGCATGCAGAAAAACACTCCTGGGACCTTGGCCATGATGGAGCAACCAGAAGCAGTTACATGCCACTGCTTAGATGGCAGAGACTATGTCATATCCTGGAGTCACTTACACTTGGCCCTTCAAAAATTGATCAGAGTCAGAGGTCATGGGAAGATAGTTTACAAGCATGCATAACTGGCCTGGAACTTGTCAATCATCTGTGATAGTGGGCAGTAAAAGGCTAAGGTTGTAAAATGTGGGGGATAGTTAAAATCCCAAACCCCCTGTATCTGCTCAAAATCCTAATTGGCAGTGAGCTTTGAGTTGGCACCAGTCACATAAATTTCCTCTGTTAAGGAAAGACAGTTTACAGACCTGAGATTATATGTCCCTATTAAGAACTGCTTAAAGGCCTACCCAGGTAACTTAGGCATTATTAGGGTCACTAAAGATTAGCTTTCCATGCCTGTAACCCTATAAAACACTTAAGCTCCAATTATTAAAAAACAAAAAAGGGGGAGCCCCAAGGGAAACTCTTGCCTTAACCTTATTTACTTTAATTTTAAAAATTTACCTCAAGGTGATCCTTATCCTAGAGCTGAAAAGCAGTTTACCTCTCCAGCTCCATCTCAAGACCATACTCCCATATGGTTTAAAGAATTTGATCAGTGAAACCAGGACTAATGACTCGTTGTGGGAAAGGGTATGCTTCTATCGTTCCAGATGGATCTACCGGCAACATATGGGATCCTCTGTGGCCCATCCGACCCTGGAAGGATGAGAACAGTACAACCTAAACCTGAGGAAGAAGAATTAAAACGGCGCCTTGCAGGCCTAAATGTGAAGACCCAATGACGCTATCGTCCCTATCACAAGAAAACTAGTCAGACGCTGCCAACATGGGGTCAGATTAAGACGTTGTCAGACAAGGGAGAAGTTCTGATCAGTACTGAAGGCCCAGAACACTCGCACATCTGTTTTTGGCCATGGTTGTGCTGCTCACCTGTACTTCCATGGTGAGTAGTGAACATGTGGATTGAGCCTATGTCCCTCACCTGCCATTGTTAAGATTAGTAGATTGCTAGATCCTGGCTGGTGGTATATGCTCATGACAGTGTGTATCTTCCTCCACCTTGGGACCATACAGGTCCCGCTCATCCAGCTGAGGAAGGAACAGTTATCCTTAGGAGTGGGGTCTTTACCACTGTTTGGGGGTACCCCCTTGTTTTACCAATCAGAAGACAGGTATGGGTGTACATTTTGCCTGATGATAAGTCTATTGGTGGAATTTGACCATTTAGTACACTTTCCTTAGGTTTCATTCATCAGAATCATTCTGACTAAATATGACTGGGTGACCAGCCAACCCCGTATGTCAGGGCATTAAATGTTGCAATTGTGTTTACACTCCTATTCAGTGGTCTCAGTGTCGCAGCCCTAGAGGAAAAATTATACAGCATAATAATGTTTCATTTATAGATTGGGCCCCCAGGGGCATTTCATCGCCAGTAGTTCTGAAAAACATGTTGATGATTGGTGTACTAGTAATTTTTCTGTTTGATAGCGTTTATACAATGGAATTATAAATCATGTAGAACCCACTGGTTTGCTTACCTGGCATGATGAGGCCTTGCACCTCGTAGACCACCAATAAATTTTAAGGGACGTTTGAGCCCTGAACAATGCCATTTATGGAAACTTCTGCCTGTTTCATACAACTCAAAATTGTCTTGGTCATTTTATTAGAGCCTACAAGGCAAACTATACATTTTATAGGAATCACTCTTCTTTTGTACAGGCTTGTGTTAGACTTCCTTATGTATTAGCCATAGGCACTGTGTCAATTAGTGAAACTTTACGTAACTTAGTTTTGATTGTCGACTTTTACATGTTTAAATCAATCTATTCCTTTTAATGTCTTCTTAATCCCTTCAGATATGACCATCTTGCTTAGGGGGTCTGGGTGCCTGTTAACTTCACCTGACCTTGGCAAGAGAGCCGCATTGTCGGTTTGCTGACAGGAATTTTCCAATGAGTATTCAAAAGAACTAAGAGGTTTCTGGGCATAATTATAGCCGCAGTTATTGAACTGATTGCTGTTGCCACAGCCGCTGCAACCACTGGAGTAGCTCTGCATACCACTGTCCAACCCAAGAACTTTGTAGGGATGTGGCAGCAAGATTCTCATCAGCCGTGGGTTCATCAGATAAATATTGAACAGGACATTGAGTCTCACATAAACACCCTACAAATGCGGTCCAGTGGATGAGAGACCAGATAATTGATCTGTAAAAACAACTTAGCTTTAAATGTGATTAGAGGCCAACAAGGCTGTGTGTTACCAACGCCCCCTTTAATGCATCACTTGGCAGGAACTTTAGTACCACCTGCAGAACTTGTGAGGAAATTTATCTTGGAATATACATCAGCTACTACAAGAAGTCACTGAGACTTCTGGGCATAAACTCCCTGGGATGGGAAATGAAGGCTTAGCTGAAGGAATAGCATCTGTATTACATCAATTAAATCCCTGTACCTGGAGGCAGAGTTTTACCCATAGTGCTTTTACAGGATTGATTGTATTGTGTCTTATATTTGCGTTCTTTGCAGGATACCACTGTCTCCACTACAAAATAGCCAAGATGTCCCTTCCACAAAGGAATTTTGTGCTTGCTCTACTACACTTAAAAAAACAAAAAAGGGGGAGCTGTCGAAGGCACTGGCCACGTGATTCCTTCTGAGGATTTGTGTGCTGTGTGAGGTTGTGTATGCTGGTGTACACAGCCTTAGGGGGAAAGAGAAAACTCCTTGAAAGTCTGGGCAACAGTCCAGATGCCTGGCCACACCTCAGGGGAAGACATGCAGAATGGGCTCTACATACTCCTCTGAATGGTCTTATAACACTCCCTCATACTCCTTTTATGTATGTAAGAAAATCACCTGCACTTTGCTTATCTCCTGTAACCTTTGATCTCGTAAAACTGTTTCATGTTTGCTGACTAAGATTAACTCTCGGTGTGTATGTGCTATATATAAGCATAAGTGCTATTAATAAACTTTGTCTATACCTGCAAGGTGTAGTCCACTCTCTGCCTACCCGGCACTGCGTTCCCAGTCTCGCTGTGTGAACAGCAACAATCCCTTTTTATTATTAAAGGTTTGCTTTCTATCTAAAATAGAATTCCGAAATCAAGTTTACTTAATTTTCCAGAGGAAGTGCTGTAGGTTATTGGCTACCTTGAAATGGTATACATTTTAGGTTGTATATCCTAGGTTTAATTTTGTTTTCATAAGGGGTTTATAATTATAACCTACTAGATTATGTAGTCAACTATATAGTGTCTGACTAAGTAAGGAACAAGTTTGAAAGTTTGTACAAATACGTTTTTATCTGTGAGCAAGAACTCATTTTACAACCAGAGAATTCAAAGTATCTTAAATGATTTTCCTGATGAAGTAAGAAACAACCTCGTTGGCAATATATTTCAATATAATTTGTAGCTCAGGCTGAATTAAGTTTTAATTTCAGACATTTCCCCCTTAAAAAAAAACCCAAATCTTTTTTTGACTGGATTTTTGTTAATAAGAATTTAAACAGTTTTTTGGTATAAAAAGATGTTTGAATGCCTTAGTCTTGTAGTTGACATTTTACAATTTATAAATCATTTTTGTGAGTCTATGAATGTGGCTCAAATAGCAGAACACCTGCCTAGTAAGTGTGATGCCTTGTATTCAATTGCTAGTTTTGCCAACAAATTTTTTTTTTTTTTCGTCAGTCATGGGGCTTGAACTCAGGGCCTGAATGCTGTCCCTTAGCTCTTCAGTTCAAGGCAAGCACTCTACCACTTGAGCCATAGTGCCACTTTCAGCCTTTTCTGCTTATGTGGTGCAGAGGAATTGAATCCAGGGCCTCATGCATGCATGGCAAGCACTCTACCACTGAGCCACCTTCCCAGCCCCCATCAAACCTTTTTATTTACCTTTAGAAACTTCCTCATACAAAATTATGTGTTTAAGCCCGGTGTATATTTGGTCGAAATATGTTGATCTGGTTTAAGTGAGGATAATACTGAGGGAACCAAATGTTTAGAATCTTGCCTCTTTTCTCTCTCCTCCCCCAATAGAAAGGATATTCACAAAAGGCCTGTTTCAAAACTCTGGATAATTTTTTTTTTTTTTTTTAATTGGGCTGAGAAACTTTTTAGGTAGAAGGCCAGCTAGTAAATCTTAAGACTTAGAAGGCCACCTGGTTTCAAGTTTTAAAGCTTGTCCTTGGAGTACCAAAGCATCCACAATATGTAAATGAGTAAGCATGAAACTTCATTATGGATACTAAAATTAAAAATGTGTAATTTTCATGTGTTACAACATGTTTAAGATGTGTTATTTAACATATTCACGTCAAGTATTTTGAATTTGAATATAAATGCCTAATTTCAGATTTTTTTCATACTTGGTTTTATACTTGAATACCAGAAATACTTAACATTTTTTCATTCATTTTTGTCATCACTCCCGTTTGTGTTTCTAATCATCTTACTTAATATGTTGGAAATATTGTCTTAGGATCTTTGAAGACTAGCTGCATGAAAGTATTCTCTTGGGCTATTTAGTGGATTTACATTTATAATTGAAGAAATAGGAGTTTAGTTTGAGGTGAGGGCTGAATGTATGGTAAAGATTAGGATTGTTTTAGATGAAAATTTCATGATTGCTTGGTTGGAAGAATTCAGAACCCACCTGCTTTTCAAATATGGAAGAGATAGGAATTTATAAGGACAATAGGAAACCGTATTCTTTTTTCGTTTGAAATAGCAATTATGGGAAAGAAGATTATTTTTCTTGTTCTGTAATTCATATTGACACCTTAATGTACTAGAAGTTGAGACTTTACATTGTCCATTTGTTTTTTAATTTTATTGCCTTATATAAAATTGCCAGAATTTCTTAAGATAATTGTTTTTCATTATTAGTATGCTATCAAGTTAATTGAATGTTTCAGACTTACAGGTAAAATAAGGGATACTCTTGAGTATTTTCTCCCTTTTACAAGAGTGTTTAATTAGCTCCTTTAAGAATGTGTGTATGTCCTCGGCTGACATGTAGCTCAGTGGTAGTTGCGAGCCTCTCATGCTCAAGGTCCTGGGCTTTTAGTATGTTTTTGTGACAGTCTAGAATAGCACAGCTCAATAACAATACAGGGGTCATAAATGTGAGCTTTATATATATATGTATATATAATATATAATATATATATATATATATATATATATATATATATATGTATATGTATTAGTGCTGGTACTGGAGCTTAAACTCAAGGGCCTAGATCTGTCCCTTGGCCTGTTTGCTTAAGGCTAGTGCTCTACCACTTAAGCCACAGCTCCACTTCTGGCTTCTTGGTGGTTAATTAGAGATAAGGATCTCACAGACTTTTCCTGCTTGGGCTTGCTTCAGACTATAATCCTCAGATCTCAGCCTCCTGAGTAGCCAGTTATAGGTGAGCCACCAGTGCCTGGCTGAGCCTTATATGTAATTTTAAATAACCTACTAGTCATATTAAAAAAAAATCCAAACAGTATCTCAGTGCAATGACACTTGAAATCCTAACTATATGGAAGGATTGTGGTTCAAGACCACCCTGTGCAAAAAGTTTGCAAAAATCCTAATAAAAGTTTGGTGTGGAAATAGTATCACAGTTCAGACTAGCCAAAGCATAGAAATGAGATCCTATTTCAAAAATCAGCAAAAAGGGCAGGGAGTGTGGCTTATGTAGTAGAGCACCTGACTATAAAGCTTGAAGCCCTGAGTTACAATGGCAGAACCACCACAAAAAGAAAAATCAGCAGAGGGGTAAAGAGAGGGTGGGTGGTTGTATAGCTGAGTGGCAGAGCACTTGTCTAGCATGCACGAGTCTCTGGATTTAGTCCCTCGAACCACAAAAGAAAGAAAACAATGGAAATATGTTGCTGGTCACATAGCGAGAACTGGGAACTCAGTGCCTGGTAGGCAGAGAGTGGACTGCACCGTGCAGGTATAGACAAAAGTTTACTAAAAGCACTACATGTTAATATATAGCATACATACAAAGTTATTCTTAATGAGCAAGAGTTAATCTTAGCGAACATGAAACAGTTTTACATGATCATAAGGTTACAAGACATAAGGCAAGGGTAATTTTTCTTACATGAAGGGAGTGTGAGGGAGTTGTTATGGGGTCATTCAGATGAGTTTGTAGAGCCCATTCTGCCTGTCTTCCCCTGAGGTCTTGGCCAGGCATCTGGACTTTGAAGGAATTTTCTCTTTCCCCACAAGGCAGCGGCTAGGTACCCTACTGTTTCCTGGACTATGGAAGAGTTTTCTTCTTGTACAGCAATATGCATAGCCTCACAGCACACAAATCCTCAGATGTGGTCAGGCGGGCCAGTGCCTTCGACAGCTCCCCCATTTTTATTTTTTTATTTTTTTTTCACTTGATTGTGGGGCCTGAGGCTGGCGCCTTAGCACTTAAGCCACAGCGCCACTTTTTTCTGTTTATGTGGTGCTGAGGAATCGAACCCAGGGCCTCATGCATGCGAGGCAAGACTCTACCACTGAGCCACCTTCCCAGCCCCCCTTGTTTTTTAAGCATAGTACAGCAAGCACAAAATTCCTTTGTGGAAGGGACATCTTGGCTATTTTGTAGTGGAGACAGTGGTATCTTGCAAATAACACAAATATAAGGCACAATATAAGCAATAGATTTATCATCAGGCAAAATGTACACCCATACCTGTCTTCTGATTGGTAAAACAAGGGGGTACCCCCAAACAGTGGTAAAGACCCCACTCCTAAGGATAACTGTTCCTTCCTCAGCTGGATGAGCGGGACCTGTATGGTCCCAAGGTGGAGGAAGATACACACTGTCATGAGCATATACCACCAGCCAGGATCTAGCAATCTACTAATCTTAACAATGGCAGGTGAGGGACATAGGCTCAATCCACATGTTCACTACTCACCATGGAAGTACAGGTGAGCAGCACAACCATGGCCAAAAACAGATGTGCGAGTGTTCTGGGCCTTCAGTACTGATCAGAACTTCTCCCTTGTCTGACAACGTCTTAATCTGACCCCATGTTGGCAGCGTCTGACTAGTTTTCTTGTGATAGGGACGATAGCGTCATTGGGTCTTCACATTTAGGCCTGCAAGGCGCCGTTTTAATTCTTCTTCCTCAGGTTTAGGTTGTACTGTTCTCATCCTTCCAGGGTCGGATGGGCCACAGAGGATCCCATATGTTGCCGGTAGATCCATCTGGAACGATAGAAGCATACCCTTTCCCACAACGAGTCATTAGTCCTGGTTTCACTGATCAAATTCTTTAAACCATATGGGAGTATGGTCTTGAGATGGAGCTGGAGAGGTAAACTGCTTTTCAGCTCTAGGATAAGGATCACCTTGAGGTAAATTTTTAAAATTAAAGTAAATAAGGTTAAGGCAAGAGTTTCCCTTGGGGCTCCCCCTTTTTTGTTTTTTAATAATTGGAGCTTAAGTGTTTTATAGGGTTACAGGCATGGAAAGCTAATCTTTAGTGACCCTAATAATGCCTAAGTTACCTGGGTAGGCCTTTAAGCAGTTCTTAATAGGGACATATAATCTCAGGTCTGTAAACTGTCTTTCCTTAACAGAGGAAATTTATGTGACTGGTGCCAACTCAAAGCTCACTGCCAATTAGGATTTTGAGCAGATACAGGGGGTTTGGGATTTTAACTATCCCCCACATTTTACAACCTTAGCCTTTTACTGCCCACTATCACAGATGATTGACAAGTTCCAGGCCAGTTATGCATGCTTGTAAACTATCTTCCCATGACCTCTGACTCTGATCAATTTTTGAAGGGCCAAGTGTAAGTGACTCCAGGATATGACATAGTCTCTGCCATCTAAGCAGTGGCATGTAACTGCTTCTGGTTGCTCCATCATGGCCAAGGTCCCAGGAGTGTTTTTCTGCATGCTGGGTTAAATGCACCTTGGCATTGCCCTTGGTCTGTCACTGGACTTGAACTCAGGGCTGAGTACTGTCCTTCAGCTCTC